GATCATAGGCATGTCAGACTCTGCAGACATGTCAGATGCGGCAAACACTCGGATACGTCCAACCGCATCAGACTTGTCTGACGTGTCGGGCATGTCAGACACGCTTGACATTTTCCGAATCATCTTGAGGAGCTCCTCTGACATCGCATACACAGTGGATCACAGTGGCCATCCTAAGAGTGTTTCCATAGCAAAGCTCGAATAAACCTGAGGAGGACAAAACAAGATTCGAATTACTCTGTCTACCACTAACATGGCACCCAACAGGGGTCCCCCCAAGAGGAAACTGATCTTCCAGCCTCCCACATGTGCCATGTTCTGTGTTAGTGGGAGGAAGGGTACTTTTTCAAGCTTTGTTGCTCACTTCTCCAACCGCAGACCAGCCTTGCCTAATACTACTATGGTCTGCTGTCTGCACCCACAACAGTCATATTGTCTCAAGCATGGACCTAAAGCTATGGAGAAAATCGCGTACCCATATAGCAATTCATGGCAACACGACTCTGGTGGTCATGGACAGGTTGTACAGGATCGAACTCGAACACCTTTCTTTTGACGCCCGCTGCCTTGAAGCCAAAAGGCTCCAATTGCCGAGCTTCATGATTTGGGTCCTTCCCCCTATAGGAAACCGGGGTCGGAAGTTGGTTTCATTACCTCAGGTAAGGACAGGCAACAGAAGAGTGACCTTCCCTCCAACAGCAAAGTATGCTAAGTGCAATTTGAAAAGAGACAGTCCCCTAAAATGGCAATGGTTTCCTTTTGGCTTCCTTCACATACCAATCAAAAAACATGAGGCAAACAAATCCTTTGTCCTCGCTGGGACCGCGGCCAGAACTGCTGTGCGAAGCTACTGGGGTTGCACAGCGCCACCATCATATCGGCTTGTTTCCTGGCCGCTTTTGGATGGGTGACGGGTGTTTTGTTGTTCGAGGGCAAAAGAAAGACCAACATGTTCGGGCCCCGTATTAGTGACAAACGCAGAAGCTGCTGATACTATACATGCCATCAAACTCTATGTTTCCGCCTGCGGGTTGTGGTAATGTCCTCCTAAGAATCTAAGCAAAAGGGCATGGCAGAGTTCCCATACTTTGAATCCGGATAGTTTGACAAATTATCATCCACGTCAACAGCAAGGACTCACATGTTTAGAGCGTGTCATACAGGGATCTACCCGTTGCACAGCAACATGCAACGACTTAGACTTACATGCAGGCGGCCTGAGAACGGGGCCAGTTGACTGAAGGCCGTGGATATAAATGTCCAAATGTACTTTGCTGGTGTCCTAAAGAACATGCAAGAGCTTTGCCAAAGACCCGCCCTCATATTAGCTTGGCAAATGATAGGCTCACATCTCAAGTTTAGTTCCTATGGCCAGTCCCCAAAGGTGGTTTTCCAAACCACACAAAGCAACAGTGTCATCTGCAAAGCTATTAGCTATGGCTACCAACATGTGGAGAGATGTTCTGGTTGCACGTCCCATTTCAGATCCAACCTAGCCTCGGAAACCATCGCCAGTTTCAAGCGGCCTAGAGAAGCCAGGTCCTATCCTCGAAATTGGTGAAGTTTCCGGAGCCTTGAACTAATATCCAAGGTTGAGTTCGCCCACAGTCTCCCCTCAAAAATTGATAACCTCATGAGACTTGCCTGCTCCGGCTGCTCGCCATTGCAAGAAAGACACTTGACCCGCCCTCTTAAATCAGACACGCACACATAGACACACACACACACAGGCAAAAACTTCTGTGACACCACTGCAAGGATTTTCCACTGGTATCACAACGAGAAACTCACTCCAGTCCACGCGTGCGCCGGCTTCGTCCTGCTGGTGTGAGACTCTCGCTGAGTGCCCGGCGCTTCCAGGCAAAGCCCCGGCATGCTGGAGCCCAGGATCTGAAACTGCCCTGTCGCAAAAGGCATGCCTTTTTGAGAGCACCCTTTTAAGGCCGCTTTAATTTAACCGAAAACCAAACCTTGAGCTTGACACAAAAGCAAGGGGAACAGGCCATTTGGCGCCGTCCCTGTGTGAGCAACGCACAGGACAAGCTGCTTAATTATTGTAGGTTTAAACTACATTCCCAATAACGTCTTGTTCAGCTAAAGTACTAATAGTTGATTTGAGCACTTCTCCGGAGAATCGAGACATGTCCTCCTCCAACGAGCCATGGTTCTGGCTGTCGCTCTTCCTTGCCGACCATTTTGTTTGTGGCTGACGTTAAGGGAAACCCTCCCAAATGAAAACACATTGCACCCCAGGGCTGAGCCCGCCTGTGGCAGGCTCGTAGGAGAACTGCTGCTGCCAGTGTCCGTTGCACGCCCACCTCAGGAAGAGAAACCCAAAGCCATGCAGCGCCCTAAGTCGCTGATGCGGCTCCCAGACCTGCAGAAAGGGCCCTCTATTGTTGGTTGACTTTAAAGGGCCGTTTTTTCGGGCACCCCCCTCGGAGGTCTGGGACTCTAGCTTGAGTAATGAGCTTGGAGTATCGGTTTCACGGATCCCAAGCATTTACACTGAAGCGGGCCCTTTGAGCTAGCATCTGTCAAAGGCTTGGCTTTGGCAGTGTCGATGTGCTGAATTTATGTTAAGCTCGAGGACTCAAGTCTAGCATGTTGGTTGCATGCTTGACTAGCGAGTCAGAAAGTTGAACTTGAGATTGTTGTAAACTTGTACTCTGAAAAAATACTCGCACATGCAGACTGACCTTTACTCGCAGCAACAGCTCGCGCAAATGATACTTGGTCTACACTCCCGGTGGGCTTTCTCTTAATCACTTTCCTTACAATCTAACTCTCTCTCTCTCTTTCACTCTCTCTCTCTCTCTCTCTCTCTCTCTCTCTTGAACAACAAGTATGGACGAACCTTTTGCCCAACTCCAACAAAGGGCCGGGTCAAACAGCCGACAGGGGTGTGTCTCCAAATAGGGGTGGCCCCAACATGGTGCTTCTTCCCTTGGTTTCCCCCGAAGAAACAACCAAACAAAGGGTCCACATCTCTTCCTAACTTATGACCTGAGTGCGACCGGGCTGCTGATTCACTGGGCCTTCCCCTCGCTGCGCCACCCAGCTTTGAAGCACCTGGCCCCCATATTTCTGGGAGCCGCTTGGCTTAGGCGCAGGACATGGGATGGGTGGAATCCACTAAACTGTGAAGCGCTCAGTCAGTTGAACTGCACCTCATCTGAGGAGTGAATCTCCGACCTTTCATCTGTTCTGAATCTGGCGGAGTCCTGCCCTCAAGGTGAACCCCCGTCCATGGACTCTTATTGTCTATTTGCAGGGAACCTGAAGCATCCTGAAACAGCCAATGCCCAAAGAAGGTCGCAACATCGGCCCAGTGTTCACCATTGAAGCCGTCGCCTGTGCCGAGGTGTCCAGCTGCCAGCCGGGGCTCTGCGCCGGGCCGTTGAGATCCGCGGCCAGGCACAGACCGAAGACGCTCTGCACCGTTTTGGCCACCCGCGAGTAGAACCACCCCTCGCCGACTCGCTGACTCGCGCTGCGGGGAGTTGGGGGGGGTCGGGTTCAACGCCTTCCGACATTGGATCCCATGGTGGAAAAAGGGACATGAGCGGGACAGGCATTGCGCCACTGAACAACTTGGGGGGTGGCAACACGGTGCTGTGGCAAAAGGTGTTTTGGAGCAGGCTTTGAAAAGAGAGGGACGCCCACCGTTTGAAGGGGTCTCCAGTTTTCAAACATTTTCAGCGGACACTTGGCGGATCCGTGATCAACTTCCAAGTTCACCCTCGGTTCAGGGCATGGCAAGACCCATCGGCCCCACTCAGGCGAGCAATTACACAAGCCTACTTCACCGAAAAAGGCAAACTGAGCAAGAAGCTGCTAGGCCGAGCTATAACGGGATATAAACCTACCCTTCCTCGCACAAAATTGAGACTAAGACGGGCTGCCTTTTACAGGCGCCTGTCAGTTTCCCGTGGGTTGGATTATCAGGCAGCTCCATTCTTAGAGTTGTTGTATTGTGCCCTGGGATTACACCCTCCGAGGAATCACCCCTCATTCTGGCCTACACCTGGTTGTTTCGGAGTGTTTCGGGTAGTTTCCCTGCGCACAGACCCTTGGATCCATGCCCATGGAAAAGTCGATCAATTCTGACCTCAGGCTAAAGTGACTACTTGACAGTGACCAAACGCAGAACTTCCGAAATACCAAGGAACATTCAGGTGGGGCTCCCTCTGCCCTTCTTCCACAAGCAACCAATAGGAAGGGCCAATGGATTGAGGCCCAGTCCGGTTTTGCCTTTGTCCAACAACCATGGAAGTGGACAGGGTACTGCCCCTTGTCAAGATGGTAGTTCTTACGAAGCCCTCCGATCGTTCACTTAAGCCTCTTCTCGGCATTTACAATCGGCTGATACAAAAGAAGAGCATCCTCGAAGGATGCTTCAATGCGCCAGTGCATGCATCGGGTTTTGAGATGTTGAGAAGCACCATCGTCTCAACTTGCTTTACTGCTATACTTCAAGCTGAACAATGGAACCCCTTGAAGTCGTGGGTGAGAAAGAAAACCACAATCCGTGTTCCTCTGTTGCATTGGACAAGCGTGGCAGTTTGTGGTCAGCTTGCACCGATAAAACGGAGCGCTCGCTTGCAGCTGGCTGAATGAGTGCTTCTCAAACTGATGGAACCCGCATGAACCCGCTTTTGGTTGATATGTACAGGGCAAGCATTCAGGAAACCAAGCTTTGAAGAAGACCTCTACTTTGAGAAAAACCGAAGACCTTCTCACTTCCGTCCAACTTCAAGCTGCTTGCAAGGATCTTCGACCTTTAAGGCCTGATGCTAGCTACAACTTGATACCCTCTCAGGTACAGAAAACGCGCACCAAAACTCCTGCCAACCGGGTGCCTTTCCAAAAACACTTAAGAATATAGACCCAGGGCCGAAAACACCAACACGCCCCCAGCCCCGCCTGGTGGCCGTCCGCGCGATCGCAGCTGGCGATCTGGGGTCGCAGGCCCAACTGCCGCCCCGGCGTCGCCATCAAGCCTCGTGTGGCAAAATCAGCAAACGGGACCCCCAAAAAGGGGGAGTCCGATCTGTCCTCTGCAAGTGGGACTTTGGGCGTCTGTGAATTTTAATGGGAGCATGTCAAATCCCCAGCCACTGTTGACACATCCTCATTTCTTGGCTTAGGGGTACACAGAAGGCCACATTTCAGATTCTGTTTCATATTGTGTCCACCCCCAAAATATTTAAAACCGTTTTGGAAGAGACCCAATTTGAGAATATCAAAGGGAACACGTCAGAAAGAGGCAGAGTGGTACTTCTTTCTTGGATATGCTTCAAGGCAACTGAGAGGACACCAAACTGCTAAGAGCAGCCCAAGATAAACCCGGCAGGTCAAAGGCTCTGCTTATGACCTTCTCTCAAAGGAATACTCCACCACTTTCAACAAAGCTGCGCAAACTACTTGGGGTGTAAGGGGATCTTTGCTCAATATTGTTTTGGGCCATTTTGTCAACCCCTTTTTGCAATTCACCAATCTAGTCATTCCCAAGAGCTGGAATCCCTCAGAGTCGATCACCAAACAAATGCACGAACAGGATCTTCTGATTGCTGCTTTCTGCCCGCTGCTAGAGAAGCATGAGCTGTTGTTTGCTTGCGCGAGCATACCTTCAGATCATAGATCATGAACTCTTCTTGGTATCCGAACATCAGTTTCCTTTATGTTGCACTTGCGTGTAAGTATGTTCCATCACTATCTATGTTTAGACACGTGTGGCTGACATCAGGAGACTCTTCTTCGTGCATGCAAAGAACCCCCCCCATGTATAATGCCAGCCGAGTGCGACAAAACCTCACTTGACATTGCGAGACAGTCCAGCATTCTCACTTGACAAGCTAGGTTTAAGGGGCATGCTCGAAGGAAATGCTTCGCCTCATCTTCTGAGCTTGAGCGGATCACTACATGCAGAGGTGTTTGGCAGACGGACCCCGACAAAAAGCCGCACATTTTGGTCAACCATCTGATTCCGTGAAACTTTCTCAAAATTGTGCCTTTATTGGTTGGTATTTGAAGGGAAGCTAAAATTGACGCCAAAAGGGAATGCACTTTTAGGGAACCGATTCCTACTTTGAGAAACACCTCCATGAGCCGTGGGTTCGTCTTTTTGCGAGCACAGCCCCATGCAGCCAGAGGCGCACAGGCCCGCAGCAGTGCGAATCAGTGCCTTGGTTGATGGACGGGTCGAAGTTGGCGTCAAGGCGTTTCACAGAACAGGCCAGAACAACCTCTCCAAATACCCATCTTTTAGAGAATGATGCCAACCCCTGACTAAAAAGAAGGCATCTACTCGATGGTGAAGAATATACCTTTGAACAATCGGGTATTTGGAGTATGGGCAAATGTCAGGATACAGAAATGCAGCTTGCATCTTTGGGTGCAAGCTTGATGTGTCTTGGACACGCCGTTTTCCCTTGTTGCAACGCCACGTGGGCAGTCTCTAAAGAGACAAAAAAGGGGAAGTTGGTTGAAATGGGTGAGGGGTGGAAAGAAACACCCAAAGCCCCAACCCAATTTGAAAGTTTGACACAAGACCCATCCGATCCAGGCTCTCGGCGGGACCCTCGATCCGCGCCAAAGTGGTGCTGGTGGTGGTCATCGAGAGCCAGGTCTGGCCGCCCCATCTCTGAATTTGTGGGTCAACTTATGGGCCCCTAATTACCTTGGTCTCCCTTTTGCTTCCTAGACCACCCCTAAAAGGGTACAACCAAAAAAGCATGTGCACCACGCACAACCCATGTCGAGTTTCAGCGGAACCTTCCGATGAACAGTGTTGCAATGTGTTGGGTCAAATAGTCTGCTTGTAAGACCAGTCCACCAACAGCACAAGGCATTCGCATCAAGTTGCCGCCGCCTGCACGAACGCGCCTTCGGATGTGTATATATATATATATATATTATATACAGAAGCAAAACAAAAAACAACAACTGCCTCGAAGATTGTCTTACGCACAAAACGCGGTGCTGCATGATGGTCATTGGCACATGCAGGCTGAGAGACCGACAACCGGGCTCTGCAACCGCGGTGGCGCCCGCTTTTTGCGCACTGCGTGCACCAGGCCGTGAGCTACTGGTTGCCATCACCTATGACGCATTAAGGTCTACTTTGCAGTTCGATAGCCTCTGCACCACCTTGGGCCTGTGCCAAGGAATGGCAGCACGAGTCGCAGTGAGTGCTTCATTGCCTACTAAAGGGACAAGCCATCGGAAGCATCATGACCTACATGACCAATCATACCAAACCTGTACTGCTGTACGCATGCACTCGCGTGCGGGCGTGCGGGCGTCAGTTTGGTTTGTGTTTACGTGTGTGTGTGTGTGTGTTGCGTCTTTGAACCAACTATACCTTGCGGCCTTTGCAACGCACCAGGGTTAATACGGGTACCATATGCTTTTCCTCAACGACAAGATTTGACTGTTTGGGTGTCATCTTTGATGTCATAACAAAAAGGGAAATACCAACTCCTAGAAAATGGGGAGCATGACAGCAACTTTCTTTTCCGTCGCTCTCCTCTGACTAAGGCCTTCTAAATCTACGTTCTTCTAAACCTGCAATAGTCTTCGAATAATTTTGGGTTTTGTTCCTAGGCCCCAACCATAAAGCATCTTTATTTAATTTATACAAGTCTCTCCAAAAACACTCGGCAAACAGTCATTCAAAGGGTGTCCCCACAAATCCGCCCAACCATCTGTGGTGGGCACTGTTTGGGCACCGTCTCTAACATCAAGAAAAACACCCAAGCATAAACGGGAATTTTCCCAATGCTACTTTCTGTTCAAGTCTTTGGTCCCTGAAGTGAGAAGGCCTTAAGGTGGCTTCTTTGCAAGAATTTTGCAAGAAAATGAAAAGGGGGGAGTTGAAATGTGCAAAGTGGTTTGGGGTGCTGGACGGCAGGCGTAGTATTCGTTAGAATATGTTTGGTAATTGTTTTGTACTGCTTCAGTACAGTATTGGTCTAGTTCTGGTTTAGTAGTGGTTTAGTCTTGGCTTCGTATGGTTGAGTGTTGCTCAGTATTGTTTTTGTGCAGTCCGGGACTCAACTTCCACCTTCCCCCCGCCCGGCAGATTGCTGAACTTTCATTGGGGAGTGGTTGGACATAAATCCTGATTTGAGTTCTGTACACAAGATAGCGAAACAAATACCCACCCGAGTTGCCCAGCGACCCTGTTAGAAGAAGGGAACCTATTTTGGGTTGACTGCTTTGGGTGGGGAGCACACCAAACAAATGGGATTCAGAGGGTGGATTGCATTGAACAATTCGTACCCAGATTGAGCTGCATGATCTGGGCCAACACTTTTTAGGGCTCCCTAGAATTCCCCTTTACAAGCAGAAACTGGACAACCACACTCGTTACCCGTCCCTTTTTGGCTTCCCCTTTGGACAAATGCAGATTATAAACTACCCAGTTGAAGAGCCGCCTTGAGAATCTCCTCCTTTGAGGCGTGCAGCCCGTGGGAGGTGGTGGTGGTGGGCACCTTGGAAACGGGTGTGCTTGAATCAGTGCGCCTGGCAGATTCCTCAACGCTTTTCGTGACAGTAGTTTGCGTGCTTTCAATTCTAGGTACAGATGCATGACAGGTGCAGCACTTTCGGACCGCTGCAGACAGAGAGAGAGAGAGAAAGGCGGAGGGAGGGAGGGAGGGAGGGAGGGAGGGAGGGAGGGAGGGAGGGAGGGAGGGAGGGAGGGAGGGAGGGAGGGAGGGAGGGAGGGAGGGAGGGAGGGAGGCATGGAGAGAGAAAGAGAGGCTGCAAACTATAGCTTGTTTGAAACTTCCCCGGGCCCTGCCGGACTTTACTGGCGCACAGTTGCAAATGGCCGGACAGTGAACAGTGTTGCCTATTCGGGTGTTTCTTTTTCAGGGTACCCTTTTCGGGGGTTGCTTTTATTGGAAAGCAAAAGGAAACGCCCCACTTTGCGGGTTCCCAAATTCTAGGACACACCGAAATTTGCACATGATCCCCACAGCCAACATTCAAGCCGATCCACGAAACACGGCTTCAAGAGTCAAGGCACCCGCACCGTTTCACAACCTTGCTTTAACCTAACGAACCCGTTAGATAACCCTCTGAATTCATTCAGTCATTCAGGCCCTCGAAATGGAGAGTCCCCCCAAACGGAGGGGCCTCGTGGATTTCATCGAACAAACCAACCATAGCTTCCCCTTTCAGAACACCCAGTTCACAGCTGCCGAGCCCTTAGGAGCCGGACAAGATTGGTATCCACACCTGAGACACGTCGGACACGGACATCCAGCGCAGTTGACTAGTCTTTTTTACCCGCAGTGGACTTCCACGGTTTGCCGTTGTTAGATTCTGTGTGACATCCGGCCGTTACAACCAGCCGCCCCCGACAGAGCGTGTGACAGAGCTTGTGACAGGCAGTCTGGTGTAGCCAAGCAAATTTATTAGGTCGGGATTCTTCGAAGTAAAGTAATCTTTTTTTTTTCTCTCTCTCTCTCTCTCCCTCTCGTTCACACACACACACATGGGTGTGTCTTTTTAGGGGACCCCCCAAAATCCAAAAAATGTGCTTTTCCTCGTGGTTTCCCGTTAACCCAACCAAGAAAGGGTACCCTCAAAAACGAGTAAGGAACCTTCATGAGGTTGCAACCCCGCCCCCCAATTGCTGACAGTTGCCCATCTGAACTTTGATAATTTTGTCGGCCAGAGGAGCCCAAGCACCCACGCAATGGTGAAAACCACCTCTAGCTACTATATCAACGGCCAACGGCAGATGCACCGTTTTCCTTGTTGCCGGGATAGGAATTGCATGTGGACCCTCTCAACCGAAAGACAAGCTCATGGAAGTGTACCCTCTTTCCAACAACTATGGAGGTGGACAGGAGGGTTCTTGAAAACTATTCTCTGGAAAAGGCCCCTTGTCCACTTCCATGATGTAGAAAGAGGTACCTTTTGACCTCCGTTCGGGGGAATTCAGCGACCCCGTGAAAGTGTAGCAACCCTCTCTGAGCTCTCAGACACCTCATTCAATTTCAATCACTATGAAGAAGTCGCAAGGCAAACGCTGGAGAAAAGCAATCAAACACCGTTGGCTTGTTCAAAGCACCTTGGCGATCAAGTATGCATTGTATGCAAAGGCACAATTTACCCAAGCAAGGCAAAACGGCCTTTGTTGCGCACAGAACTGCACTGTTGTTGTTGTTTTTTTCCACAAGAAAACTGACTTCAGCAAACCTATGCGGCATCTTGACTCCCCGGCACTTCTTGGGTGGTCAACATTAAATTTCTCCCTACGCCGAGCTGCGGGAAGATTGACAGTCTATTCGCCAGCATCCCTGTGAACAAAGTTTGACTTCTGCTGTTTAGTGGGGGAGATAGTGGGGGAGACACCACATTTCGCCCAAACAGTTGAAGTCTAACAACAAGACTTCAACCCAACAGCAGACAAAGTTATTTCTAACTGCCGGGCAGCATCGCTACCACAAGGCGAACTCACCCTATGAGTGGGCATCGAAACACGGCAGAGACCTCATCCGCTCACAGTGTCAGGGGCACAATGAAGCAGGTGTACATGTGGAATAGCAATCCAGGCCGGCCTACTAGTACAATGCAAACTGAGTTTACTTCAATACCCTTTCTGCAGGTTTGAATGTGAGGGGTTGAGTGTCTTGACACTTTTGGATGAGGAACCAAACAGCTTTGTAGATTCTCGGGCCTTTGTGGTCGTCGAGCCCACTAAGATACGATAATTTTTGCCTTGGGTCTGGGAGGATGTGGTAGACACATACATTGAGCCTATTGTGGGTGCTCGGATGGTTAACCCACTTAGTAGGTAGGCTACAACCATAGTCATATGCTAACCAATGCGTGTTTCCTCAACATAGCCATGTTTCGAATCTATGTTCCTAGGGTCGAGCATCCAATAACCTCTAATATGTTCCCTGTATTTGTCCAATACCCCAGAGACAAAAGAAAATTGATCGTACTTGCATATAACCTTGATAGCCTACTAAGCAGGTCGAGTATCCACGGATACCTGCCGCGTCCCTTGGCAGCCAGGCTCGGCAAGCCATGGGGCATCTTGGACATCCCGGAAAAGTCCACAGAGTAGACCTCGACTCCAACGTCTCAAACAAGGATATAGGACCCCCCATGATGCGGCCCTTGTCTGCCTTCGGTCCTTCTTAAACACGACTCACATGAAGATACACGCCTGGCTGAATGCAAGCGAGTCATGGAACCCATGATGCCAAGTCTGGTTGTTTCCAATTCTAGATTTATTGCTCAGTCAAGTACAATCTCCTGGCTTTGGGTGCTCGCAGCATGCCAAGCGAAGGTGTCAATTGCCGAAAACTGCCTTCGAGCCCAACCCACCTGAAATCCCCCCAGTACCAAGTACTTATGAGAAGTAGAGCACGTCAAACATGTTCAACTGCCAGTGGAATTAGCCAGCAGGGATGCGTTTTAGGTCTTTCAGTGCAAGGCCAGTGGACCCTTGCGAGCGACTGACAGCAGTGTCCACGGCGCCTTGTAGTCTTTCTTGCCCCCAACGATGCGGGCGTCCGGATTATTCTGGCCGAAGCAGCAAAGGGGAGGGTGATGGGCCTGTGGAGAACGGATTCCTACCATCAGAACCATTGAGCTGGCGGACAGTTTGGTGTAACCCACAGGTCAGTAACCTAGAGAGCAAAGCGCTAAATTTCTGCAACATGGTTGCAATGCTGCTCAGTGCAAGAATATATAGCAGCCATAGCAGGCATGGAACTCCACGACCAGTGTTGGACATGACGTGTCCTATGCTGATCAAACGCGCTTGCAAAGGAGATGCACAGGCTGAAAAGCAAACGCCTTTAGAGCAAGCAAAGGAGTCCAGGACGGAAGGTGGCCGAGAGACCAGTCCAAGCCAGTTGACCACATCCCTGATCCTCACGGGAAGTCTTATGGTCTGATCTTGGATTTCCTAGAATGAAATCGGCGACAATGCTCTTTGAAGCGACCAATTGGCATCTGGAATCCATGCATGAATAACTTCGAACCCAATACACAACAGCCGCATTGACCCTCCCATGCCGCTACCAGCAGCATGCAACGCACAATCTTTCCACTGTCTCGATCCCCAGTGGTTGGGATTGTGCCTGCTGTGCGTGGCATGTGTCATCAGCTGTGTTGAGCCGTTCTGACCAATGTCACTTGAAACAAATGAAACGATGCAAAACGGTCTCAAAAAGGGGGTGGACATACTGTTCGTTGAAGGTCCACTCCCCGTCGTGGGGGTCCAATGTCTTCCAGGACTCTTGGACTGGGGATGAGTCAACCTCACTCCGTAAACTCAATGTTGTGCGTGATCTGTGCTGTCCGGTGGTACAGTGCCTTCGATCCCCCACTCTCGTCATTGGGCTATGGAGTGATCATGGCTGTGTGGGCGTGCCACGTCGGTTGTGCCACGTCCAATGCGCACCCAAGAGGCAGTTCATGTGTTGATGAGCTCCCATGCCTTTCTGAACTGCACGTTTGGCGGCTTCGTTGTCACACAGTTGGAATTATGCTGAGTTTTGGTTTGAACACAACTGGAGGGCCGCCCATGCTTCAAGCATGTGCATGGTGGAGGTCCCACCTGCAATTTGTCTGAGTATGTGCGCCACCACTGAACACAATCCCAGGTGAACAGCAGGGCCGCACAGATCGTCCAGGTCACTCTCCCAATCTTCACAGAACGCATCTGTGTGTATGATCGGTCAGATCTCAGGCTGGAGGGAGTGTCGCTGAGCGTGCTCGGCCGTGCGCGGCCTTGACTGGCTTGGAGATGGTCGCGCTTGTGCCGCGCGCACGTGGATACAGCGTTGCCGGCCAGTCTTGGAGCAGTCTCGGGTGTGAGTCGGCCCTCTCAGCCGCGCGCGGATGGTCTGGACCAAGTGAATGACACGTGTGGGGCACGGTCGTGAGGTCAATGTAGACCTGTTGAATCTTATGGCTGGTTGGCGGTGGACGTTCCTTCGACTTTTCACGCTGCGTTGAGGAGACTACAGCTCCGGAACGAAGTGTTAGTGCATGACTGGGTTGATGGTCAGTACCCTTGCCAGTGAGGTCATGGCGTCGCCAAAGCGATTGTAGCCCCAAACGCTGGCCTGAACCAAATATAGCACATATGTTGGCGCCACACGCCGTCCATCGAAGGTCAGAAGCACACTTAGTTCCATTTGTGGATAACCGCGATCGTGGTCATGTCCCCGCACGGCCAGGTGATTGGCGTGCGCGGCACACGTGATTGCACATGCCACGTAGTGGTCCGGAGTGTGGTGATAAGACTGGCTGTGACTCCTCGTCGCCAGTCTTCTCCTCGACGGATCTTGTTTTTTTTCCGTTGGATCCGTCTGGCAGACGCTGAATTATGCGACCGCGATGATCGGGTCGGGGTGCGGCAGCGGCAAGAGGTGTGTTGGAACATCTTCAATGGCGCCGACTTGGTTCGCCATCGTAGTCGGTTGTTGGCAGGGACCTGCCATGCGGCTCAGTTGTACTTCGTTGGCAATTTCTGTTGCCATGCGTTGCCAGTGTTCGTCAACTTCTATGGCCGCCAGTTCCTGTTCTCGTGTTGTGGTCACGGAGTTCCTTGTCCTGTCGGACATGCCAGTTGACCCGTGGTGGGAGCTGACCCAACAACGTGAGTGAATTCGTGAGCAGTCATCTGCATCTGCAACTGAGGTGACGGGCACGGTGGGTTCTGCAACCTTATTTGAATAAGATTCCAACCAGGTCCGAGACGGTTCTTTCCACCTCCAGACCAGTGAGCGCCTCTCCTTAGATAGTCTATTCCCAAGGTCCGAGACGGTTCTTTCCAGACTCCCTCCAGGTCCACGATCCCATCGAGCCTTTTCTGGAGGAGTTCGACTGCCGCCTCCGAGTCGTACAGCTGCTCATCGAGAATCTCAACGGTTCTTTCCGCCTCCAGCCCGGTGAGCGCCTCTCCTTAAATAATCTTTTCCCAAGGCCCGAGACGGTTCTTTCCACCTCCAGCCGGTGAGCGCCTCTCCTGAGAATAAGAATTCTATCCAGGTCCGAGACGGATCTTCCAAGACGGATCTTTCCACCTCCAGACCAGTGAGCGCCTCTCCTTAAGGAATTCTTTTTCCCATGGTCCGAGACGGATCTTTCCGCCTCCAGCCCGGTGAGCGCCTCTTTCTAAAAGACCTTTATTCCAAGGTCCGAGACGGATCATCTCCGAGACGGATCTTATAAGAAATGATCCTTGCTTCAGGACGCTGATGGCTGACCTGGTGAAGGTCAGCATCATGTTCGGACATCGCCTGGACGGCGGTGCGCACCTCACGGTCCCAAAGGTCGGTGAAGACCATTTTCGCCAAAATGGCAAGCGGTATGCGTTCGCATGCTTCAACCGCCTTCTTTGAGGATCAATCATCATGTGCACGTTGTGGGGTCCTGTGTTTGGTAGGGCTTTCCAAAACCAACCAATTAGGACAGAGGGGTCACTGGCTCAACGTTGCTATTCATAACACGTTAACCACAACAATATTGGATTGAACTCGGCCCCCCAACACACTTGGAACCCATTGCTCCTGGAAGCTTGCGACGTACAGTTGAGGCTCTTACCAGTGACAGGTTTGTTCCTTGAACCTGACCATGAGAAGCATGGAAAACACATTCGATGATGAAGACGTATGGCTCAAGTTTCAGAAGACTTCAACCTAAAAGGAAGTGGACAAGTACTGCGTTCACAGCAGCTTGAGAAGGAGCATTGAGCTAAAAGCCTTGATGAGGAACTCAAGATCCCTGGGAGAACACAACTTGAGGGGGGGTCAACGAAAGCTAGCAACTGTTGTATGAGACGGGTCGGAAACAGAGTAGATTCCATAGGTGGTTTGCGCCATGAGAGGCACGGTAAAGATCCTCAGGAGGCTACACGCAAACCGACATGGTGGCCCAGCAAACCGTGAAAAGTGAAAATAACGAGAGGTGTCTCAAGCCGTCTCAAAGCACCCCTGATGCGCACGGCTGCGTGCAAGGTGCTTTCCTGAGAAGACTGAAGAAGACCACGAAAGTGGATTCGGATATGCAAACAGGATGCCCTGGAAATGTGTTTCTGTGTCCAAGTCAACGCTCGGAAGGGGGGAGGTCTAAAGAATTGATTCTCGCAATCTGTTTGGCTCAAATAATTGATAAAAACAATCGTTCGGCATAGGCAAGGAGAAACTTCAGCTAGCTAAAGCTAGCTTTCGTGAAAAGCTGCATCATCTTTCAGGATGCATTTGGAGAAATGTCTCCAGCTGTGACGAATATGGGAGATCTATGTGGACCACCTTGGGTGTCTATTTTTCAGGGAATTCAAGGGAAACCACCCTGTTGGAGATGCGCCTTGGAGACAATTCAAACTTAAGACTGATAAGTCTGATATAGCCATTGGTAAATCTCAAGATCCGCGCTTCGGAGAAAGCCTGCAGGACGAGCATGTTTGGACAACACGCTCAAGATCTAGGATTTGCAGCGAGCTTCAGAGAGAGAAAGCACTACTCTCCGCCCATAAATTTGAAGAGCATCAGAATAATCATTTTGACACACAACTGGATGACGACACCTCAAAATCCAGTCATCGGAGAAAGCGTTCCGGGGCTGGGAGAGAATCATCAGAATAAGCAGGGAGATGAAACTAATTGTGTTGACAGATTCCCTGCTTTTGATGCATACTCATTTTGACAAAGGATATCTTTAAGTGATAGATTGATAACGGTCTCACCGCGTTGATAGGGGATCTGACTAGCTGAACCTTTCTACACCAGTCCCAACAGCTGATGCTTCCCACCATGTCTTCAAATTCATGATTCCTCCGCGATCAAACCGCCAGCTCTGGCCTCAGATTTCAGCACCTCTTTTTGCATGTGCTTGTTGATCTGCTTTGCGACGGTGCCCGACCTAGGTTCGTTCGCCTAGTGCGGATGCCAAAGGTTTGGCCTGGCTTCGGGTGGGCTTTGCGCAGGTTTCTGGAGGCTGATGCAAAGGATGCATCGGGCAAGGTTGGTTCAGGGTAGGTTTCGGATGGCTAAGTTTGGTTTTGGGTTTGTTTGGGGGGCGGGATGCGGGATAATTTTGGGTGGTTCATTTGGGTTTGAGGTGGGACTTGGAGATGTTGTTTTGTCTTTGTGGCAAATGATGTACAATGTGTGTGTGTGGGTTTCGGCCCTGGACACCATGTCATTCATTTCATGTCGTATGAGGAGCAGCTGCAGCATGGCAGCCTCTTGGTTTCTACGTTTGATTTCCAAACCGCCAAGCCAAATGGGGGATCGCATGAGATACAACATCTTGCGCCAATGCCTGTCCTGAAGTCGGTATGTAACAAGTAGCATGAGGTCAACGTGACCAACTCAGCAAGGAAGAAATGCAAGCCATAAGCCATCTACGGAAGTCTTCAAACAAACTTCTGAAGCCCAGGTTTACAAAATAGCCCTCCAAACAGGCTCAACTCACATGTTCAAGGTGTGTACACATTATATATATATATATGTCATTGGGTTCATCGGAGGGTCTGCAACCGTATTTCCTGCCGAGCCAAAGCGGCCTTCTGGCAGAAGCACGGCCTGACACCCAATGAATGGATACTTGCCCAAAGGTTGTGGCTCGGGCCCAGCAGCTGCGTTCCACTGCAGATTTGCAGCTTCTCCCCGAGGCTCGACATTCAACAATGAGACTTAAAAGTTGCAAGAGGGAACCGGTCTCACAAGCCGAATATAATCGAGCCCTATCAAACTATATGCAACTGTAACAGCCAATGCGCAAGCGGCTCGAGTTCCGAACACGGAGAGGTCAGCAAACATGGGGGGTTCGCAAAATAGTGGTCGCCTACAGTAATATAGATTGATTTCGTTGGGTTTCGCTCTAAACATCAACCAAATGGGGCTCCCCCATATTGAGAAACATCCAAATACATCCAACAAGTTTCATGATGCAGCTATACGACCCAAGCCGTGTTGCGACCTTGTTGAGTTTCTCAGTGACCCTGGTAGCAAAGGAGGACGATTTTGGGTTTGACAATGTTCAGTGGAACCCCACCAAGCAAAAAGTGGCAAACAGAACACGGCTGAACAATTGCGACTCTGTCAGTGCTTGCTCAGTCGCGCGACAATCAATTCGGGCTCCGCGCTTGAGTTTTGCTGCCAGAATCTCTTTGCTTCCCTCCTTCCCGCGAGGAAGTGTGATGTTACCTGCGGCTTGAAATTCAGCGCACCCTTGCGGTGGCTGAACGCTTGTGTGTGACTCTGATGCTAGTTTGATGCAGAACCAAGCCAGCAGCTAACATGCGGCTCAATGCAACATGTCACAGGTCACACAAACCACAACACAAGGCAATGTTATGTCAATGTGCTTAAACCTCAGGTCATGGTGATGAACCTCCAGCAACAGGTGTGTGTGTGTGGGTGTGTGAGACACCGAGGGAGAGAGAGAGAGAGAGAGAGAAGCAACATATATGTGTATGTGTGTGTGTGTATGTGTGTGTGTGTGTGCACGCTTTCATGGCCAATCTTCGCTCCGTGGCAAATTTTCCATTGCAGTGTTCAAACTGTGCAGCGGCTCGGCTCATGCGAACATGCAGCAACAGGTGCGCCCTTGTGCTGTTCAAGCTTTCTGTTAGCAGCAACACAACAAGCACATGAGGCGATTCGAGGCAACCAATGATGCTGCACGTCAGGTATGTCTACCAAATAGTTGCGGTTTTAGAATTCCAATGTAGCAAGCATCTTACCAAGTTAGGGCGAGAGGGCTGTCTTGTAGAAAACAAAAGCTTTTAGCTGGCTTTCTGGTGACTTCAATGAATGAGAGGGTCGTCAAGAATCACACCGTATGCCTCGAGACCAAGACACAGGACCCCTTTTCAGTGCAGAAGCGCGGAGCGTGCATTGGTTGCACAGGCACTTTGCATATTTTGGATTCACATTACTGCGCTTCTTAACATGCACACAAGCCGCCAAAATCCTCCTCTACGCAGCACCCCATGGAAAGACTGCGCACGTCCATTCCAAAACTGCCAAGGCGAACAATGCCCCAAATGCAGCTTCGGGAGATAGATTTGGCCCATTGGCCACGGTTTTGGGGTGAGTTCATTTCGACTGAACCATATCTGTGTAAAACTCGATCAATCTGGAAATTATGTTTGGCCGCGAGATTGAGCATCATGATCATGATCTCCAATCTTCGAATGTGTTGGAACTTTGTGGGTGATTTCAAGGCACCTAGGCAAATTGCATAAACTCACCAACAGCAAATTAGGGATCCCTATGAAGGAACCAATCGTGGGTGACATCGCAAACCCCCATGAAACGTGACATCCTTATAACTTGCCCAGAAGGCATGCGCGGCCGTTTCTCCCAGTCCCCCCTGAAAATCGCAAAGGCCTGCCACCCGCACGAGCTCATCGCCTTCCTGAGGCATGGCTAGTGAATTCTGTAGGACCTGCTAGGGATTTGTGCAGGTACCCATTGTGGGGTGGCAACAGAGCTACGGGAATCACCCGCTGACCTCACGCCCGGCCCACTGCGAACCCTGAGAAAGAAGAGTCATAATTAAAAAAAAAACAGTACTAAGCTAGTCTACCCGAAGTTGTGATGAAGTATCAAGAGGGCGACCACACCAAATTCTAGCTGGGACTGTCCCCTACTACCCTTCATCTACCTGGGCTTTGATGATGGCTGATGTAAGGATCAGGTCCCGAGCTTGCTGCAGGTTGCATCTATCTACCCCGCTCGCTCGCTCGCTCTCTCTCAACTGTTGTGGGCTTTTTTCTCCAAAGAGTTAAAGAACGAGTGTCAAACGCGCGGCAGTCGTGGTCTTACACGACAAGTCCTCCATTCACATGGCGCTGGTTTTGGCAGAACGCTGCACGCCGCAAACATGCTCTTAGGTTTAGAACCAGGGGCTGAGTTGGTTGAACCTGCGGTTCTCAAGCTATGCCAAAAGACCCTAAGCCAACACATGAAGAGGGCATCGTGATGCAAAGTCAAAGTCAGCTTGCCCTGAGGTCCAAATCATTGCTTTGCCTTGCTCTCGATTGGTCAACTTAGCTTCGATTTCCATAATCTGCCGCAGGAGAATCGAAGACCTATTCTTGCCAAACTCAGGCGGTACCCACAAGCGCAGGATGTGAGGTCACGGTTATTGTACAACTCCCCAAAACAGCGGCCTAGGCCTCCCTCCCAAAAAGGCATATTACAATCATAATCATCCCTGTTCTGGTTCTAAGCCAAGCAGCTGGCACCTCCGCATTGGGCATTGCGGAGTTTCGGATCTTCTTGAAGGCCATATCGAATTTCTGGCAGGCAGAAAGTTGGCCGCACAGTGACCCGTATCTGTGAAGGTTGGACAATTTTGGAGTAGGGAGATAATTGTCATGCATGATTAAGGGGTTGTCATAGGTCCAAACCATTCTACGTGAACTATCAGAGAGACACAGCTCAGTTTAATCCATTTCCAGTTCCGAACAAAACTGAACTGCCGATGGCTGCCGTCAGCTTCATGAAACAGCGCTTCATGAAACAGCGGGCTGTAGGCCGCAGAAAATAACAAAGACATAATTGCTTCAGTCACTCCGTGCGTGCCATGGGGATGCTCATGGCTCCCCTGCAAAACCGCTGCTCTACTGTAGGGCTGGTGTCGTTTACCAGCAAAGGCCGTGCCCTGAAGCCGAATAGTTCGTGGTCGCAAAAGGGCTACGCTGGCCAGGCGTCCCAAAAACTTAAGGCCACCCCAGCTCTCATCTTAGCTATCACAGACTTCCGCGAGAACCGCCCTGGACTCGCCGGTTTATGGACATAAATCCATTCAAAGATGTGCACTGAAGCTGGTCCTGGGCTGGCCCCACGGTTGAGGGAACACGCACTCCAAGATTTTAGGAAGTTGATCTTGCGGGTTTTCAATGCAGCACGACCCGGCGTGCCCCTTTTAAAACCCCTCGCCTCCTTGTCCGGCACATCCGCCAGGCTCAGGAAGGCCTTCTTCAGTGCCGCATGCACCTCAACCGCTTCCCGAAGCAACAACTTTCTCACACCCAACAAATCCGCCGATCGCACCCCTTGTTGGGGAGGGAAAACACCACCGTTATTGTGTTGTTGGTTGTCAACCCACATTGGGAACAGTTTACGACAATAATAGTGTTAATCCCGTAGATATGACACAACAACACTTTCAACAAATATCACAACCTAAAACAGTCGCCCATGTTGATATGGCAAAGGACGGTGAAACAAATGATTTAAGAGACGGAGCAATACAAACACGAACTGCCACAATGGACGATGCCGAGGAACAACACGAACAACAAAGCAGACAAATTTCAAAAAAAAAGTTGGCAGCGAACAAATAGCAGACCTACACGAACGAGCACAACGGGCAAGACAATTAGACGAGAAGAAAGACGAGAAAGATGAGTGGCAGTCAGTAGCAACTGAAAAATCAACTGATGATGACTTACCGCCGTTAGAACCGCTTGAAACAGAAGACGAAGCAGTTGAACGGATACAAGGGGCACAAAGAGGGTTAATAACAAGCAAAAGAAGAAAGAAGAGAGCAAACAAGGGACAACGCTGACATTTCATCCACAGTCCCACGAAGACAAACAAGAACACATAAGGAACAAATTGATTGTTAAATTAGTATAGACTATTGGAAAGGAAGGGCAGTAAATGAAGAAGATATACTATTTCAATTACATATAAGAGGAGCAGGACTTACCGAAGAACAGGAAGAAACATACAACAAATAAGAAGAAGAGTTGCAAAGGCAAAAGTGAAACTGGTAGAACTTATTTAGTTGGACTGGTGGAGAAACTCATAAACAGCGGAAAATGGACAACGAAAGTAAATGATGAACTGTTAAGAAAGGTAAAGCAACAAAAGACGTGAGTTTCTAACGAACCTCACGAAACTTCGTGATGATGTGTAGCACCGTTGGAGCGTAAGCGAGAACTAATAACTTTCATAATCTATCACTACTTATTTTTTAAAACATAACAACCTCAAACACGAGTCAAGGAAACGCCCTACTTCTGATGAAATGCTTAAACAAGCAATGACAAGCAAACTAAAAACAACAGTTATATTGAAGAAATACAAGAAAGGTATGTTAGGGTTCCACATGTCGGTCATTTGCAAATTGCTCAGCTTTCTTGAATTTCGAGGATTCGGGTTCAGTTTGGTTCTTTTTCGACAGCCCACTGAAACCAGGCCCAAACTGCTCACCCTACGAGCTGGCCCCCCTCCCCCAAAAGGACAGTGCACATTCAGGCTCCTGTTGGGCAGAAGTGTGATAACTGGGTTTGGTTTCCGTACCGCGATTGTGACCCACTTGCCATGTGCGTCGAGCATCTAAGAAAGGTTTGCCCTTGGCCCTTGTTTGGTAAACCATCAACTTGCACTCATCTATCAGAGTCAACACCTCTTTCGGGAATTTCTTCTGTTGTCGGGGGGGTTGACGGGTTTCAGCCAGTCTGACTCCGAAAATCCTGCTCAGACCACATGCAATAGCAACAGACTGATGACCCCCGGCCCAAATCTCAGCGGATTGGGTGAATGGACCATTGGAGTCTGTGTGTGTGTGTGTGCGGAGTGACAGAATACCCTGTCACCACCTTGGGCCGTTTTCGGAAGCAGGGGGCCAGCGGCCATCAAGCAAACGCTGGCCAACGAAGCTATGCTTGATGGTGGATGCACGGATTGATCATCCGTGTGTACCTGCTTTTGTGAAGTGATGTTGATGAAAGTCCTTTTGGCCCTCTCCTTTCGCTCGCTGTGTGTGCTTCATGTTGGAACTTGTAACGTTTTCGACACTAGAGTGAAGCCAAGTGACTTGCCAGCCGAACCTCATCCGACTTTAGACTTGTCAGTGCTCGAGACTCATCAGTTGTACTCGAGACTCATCAGTTGTACTCGAAAGATTAGCACTCTCCATTTGGAGTTTAAGTGTGTACACCCCATTCGTGGGGAATCCTCGGGTGTACCCATTGTGTGACCCCGGGCCGGCTCTGTCGGAAAATTTGACCTCAACGTGCTTATCATAGAACAGCGGAATTTCACATTTAACCAGGAGCGAGGTTTCACTAAAGGGAAGACAGCGGTCAGACCATAGTGACGTCTCACCACAGCTGCTGGCTGCCGACTTGTATTGCATTGGCTTGCCATTGGTTGAATTTGTTGCTCGTATCATAGCGGTTGAAGATTGCTGACTTGAATTTGCATTGTCTTGTAATTGTCGGATTCACTATAGCTGCTGACGGCTGCTTAGTTGCATTGCATTCGCTTTCCATTCGTTGGATTTGTTGCTCTCACCACAGCGGTTGATTGCTGCTGACTTGACCGTGCATTGCCTTTCATTTGTCAGATTCATTTCTTGCACCAATGCTGCTGATGGACGCTGACATCAACTTGCATCGACTTACCTTTTGTCGAGTTCATTTCTTCAACCATCGCAGCTGGGGGCCGATGACTTGCATTTGCATAGATTTGCATGTTGTCGGATTCGTTTCTCTCAAGGTGGAAGTGTGAAGATTGAGAGTCGGTTGCGTCACCATGTCTCGAAGTGATGATCGTGATAGATCCAGGACTCGGCGCAGACGCGATCGGAGTACTTCTCCTCAAGCTCGTAAAGCACACCGACGTGAACACAATGACCACCACGTCTCGGAGGGCATGGATTGGAACAACCTGGTATCTTGGCAACACAATTCTGGCTACAACTCCGCCAACAATTTCCCGATGATGCCCACCAATTTTCAATCGATTCCTAGTCCCACGCAGCAGTTCCAACATCCATCGATCAACTACATGATGCCGATTCCTCCAGAGCCCACGCCAACGAAGTTCATGCCGTCCGTGATGTCACCACCGGTCACTACCTCGCAACCTATACCGCCACCTGGACCTCCTGCTGCTCTACCGGTTCGTCCTCAGAAAGCCTGGCTTACACCATCACCTGACTGGACACCTGGAGATGGCATGTTAGATGTCAATCAGCTCTACAACTTCAGCCTGCCCATGACGGTTGCCAACACTCCGCATAGCAACCAACGCGACATGTCAGGCATGGACATTCGTGACGTTCGCCTGGTTCAGGTTATTCATGGGGGCCTCACCAACTGGCTGCTCCGACCGTTCGCTCACGGCAGATTCGTGACGTGGGAAGGCTTTCGCGCTCGCACTGAGGCCTTGCTTTGGAGTACCTGTTCCAAACTACTACGACGATCACAGTCGATCAACCTGCTCACCCTGGAAAAGGACCTTGCCAATTCGCTGGGACTCAACCTCGATGACTTCAATCAGCGGATCAAGGTTCATGACCATTTGGCCAACTTGGTACTTCAATTTCTTCAGCAACACCACGCATCTCTCACGCCTCCCACCCAGACAGATGACATGGTCAAGAAATACAATGATCTAAATCGTGCTCATGAACTGCTCCAGGCTCAGTATTCAGCATCGCTGCGCGCTTCGACTTCCCGCACGGTGGCAAGCCAGAAAGATGATGCAGAGTTGGTTACACCACCACCGGTCAACCACACACAATCCTCGTCGCCTGCCAGCTCCCTCCCTACGGCCAGCGCAGCGGCCCTGGATGGCAAATCGTTTGATAGCGCGGTGCAGCCCCGGATCATTCAGTCTCTTCACGGAGTTTCTTCACCACCGTCCAAGCCGGCGGCCTCACAATTGCTCACCATGCACAGCACGCCGGAAGAAGTTGTCAAGTACTACACATGGACCAGTGACCAGCCACGCTTGTATCTCAAGCAATCGCCCACAACCACAACTTTGACGTCACTGGTCAAGTGGGCCAATCACCCGTCCCGGCTCAACGGCAACAAGTCATTGGATTCCATGGCGACGCAACTCCTTCAGGCGCGTCAACGCATGCCAAAAGGCGACGCACCCACTCTCGGGGCGATGGCGGCTTCGTGGGGACTGGAGCCCGGCTATCTCACCAAGCTCACTGAGAAGGCGCTGCGTCACCTCATCGTGACCGCTCGCTTACTCAGCGGATGAGCAGGCACCTTGACGAACTTCGTTCACTTATGAGCCCGGAGCGGCAGCCGTGTCACGGATGAGTCAAGGTTTAAAACTCGTCCGTCATCTTCTTGCTTTGCATTAGTTTGATCTTGTGCTTGACTGTGCTTGCATTGTCTTGTGCGTGATATTCTGTGCTGCTTGTATTCATGTCGCCGCCTCACGGTAGATTTCATTGGTTGCATGTTCACCATGTTGGCTGAGCTTCGCCGCTGTGGAATCTATGATGATGTTGCACAATGGCAGTCTCTGGACAACTTTCTACACTCGTTGACCATGTTCTCTACGTGCTGGCAATACTGCTTCCCTGGGCTACCACCACCGTCGATACCAGCCGATGAGTACGAATCAATCACGCAACTACCGTGGTTGGGCCTCATTCTGGAGGTATTAGTTGTGGCCCTTCAGATTCCGAATCACGCTATGTCGCATTCTCAACACACTGTGGCCAACAGGTATGAGCTTCACAGATGTCGGTGCACCGCCTATTTATTGATCAGTTTCTTGCAACGTCTCATTTCTCAAGATCACGGCTACTTTCCACCGTTCTTTGAAGTTCTTCACTTCTACAAGGCATCTCTCTTGTGTGAAATTATGCACTCCACTTTTGCAGACACGAGACATCTTCGCTCATTGCGGACACGGTTTCCGGACCTCTATGACTTCATTCACGATCCAGGTCATCATCAACAACCGTGCGTCTACATCCGACTTTCTCCATGGCACACGCCTTACTACGTTGGTGCGACTGATCAGGACGTTCTACGACGTGAACACTCACGCAGTCGCAAATTTCTACAACTACTCCGGGGACGTCATGCCTTCTTCGAACCCGCGCTTCACTACTGGAAGCGCTCCAATACTTACTGGCTTTTCTGTGCCGTTCCGGTTGAGATTAAACTTCCCGTTTCCTCGGTTTGGGTCCAAGAAAGCAAGTGGCAATACCTGCTACGTCCGCATTT